TCCCTCTCTTCCCCCCCCCCCCCCCTTCATCATCAACAGTGAAGTCATAGCACCAAGGGCCCTGTTGGTGTGCAATCTAAGATGATGTCACCAGCAGCCAATCAACACATTGTAAAGCTTGAAATAGTCTGTGTGTATCCTCCACCACTGGGAATAGCGCGCACACAGTTATTATCTGGTTCTACTGGCGAGCATGAGAGCCGTCCTATTCGTGAACTAAATATTTACTGTGCAGTAAGAAGAAATGAAGTGTTTTTTTTTTTTTTCCTCAATTGAAAATGGTTGGTTGTACATTTAAAAATGGACTACTTGGCCTGAATCTAGGTCTCTCTCTCTCTCTCTCTCTCTCTCTCTCTCTATTTCCCTCCTCTCTCTCTCTCTCTCTCTCTCTCTCTCTCTCTCTCTCTCTTTTTCTCTCTCTCTCTCTCGCTCTCTCTCTCTCTCACACTCTGTCTCGCTTTCTCTGTCTTAATTTTTCAAGATTACTTTTCACTTCCAAATGCGTTGTTCTAATACACAGATCTCAAACTCAAGGCCTGGGGGCTAGATCTGGCCCACCACATCATTTTATGTGGCCCGCCAAAGCAAATTATGTGCATCCACTTCATGTTTCTTGCTAAAACACCAAAATTGCAAACTGTCTTCACTTTTACAAATGTTTAGATACTGCAAGGATTTTTGTTCCCAACTCCCCCTTGAAAAACAAATGTAATAATATTTGGAAAAAACCCCAGTTTTTCTTGGCCTCTGAATTCAAAACTGCCTCTGAATTCAAAACACACCAAATTCACCAATTTGTTGTGTAGCCTACACATAATATGAGATGATTCAACATTAATTTGGGTTCATAGTTGGAACGGCTCTCCATAGGAAACCATAACTGTGATGTGGCCCGTGACAAAAATGACGTTGATACCCGTTTGTCGACCTTTTTAGAGTTCTTGGTGTGCTCGATAGTGCTTCCTCTGGAGACTCCCTCGTTCCGCTGGGGACTTGCCCTGAAAGGGTGTGATTGGGAGTTGGCCATACATTTTACTCAAGTAAAAGAAGAATAATAGCACTCAAGTAAAAGTAAAAAGTAGTCCTCAAAATAATGGATATGAGTATTCAGGGTCATACTCAAGTATCCGTTGAGTAACTTCTGATGAGTATTTTTTTCTTCAGAGCAAAAAAAAAAAACAAACAAAAAAAAGTGCAAATTGTTCACCAATGTAACTGTAACTATAACAACAATAAATATATTTTTCAGGCAGGCGCTAATACTGATTCGTCATATTGACAGGTAAAATGTTAGCACATCAGGCTAATGCCCTCAAAGCCAAGCTACCCCCAATTAGTGTGAGCCTTCACTGGACACCCCATCTCAATTTGATTTATTGAAGCAGTTCTGTTCAACCAGAAAAACATATCCTTCAATACTAAGCACATTCTTTTCTCATTACCTCGTCTCATCATATTTCCTACTTTGGTCGCATACATTCTTCGAGGATAAAAAAAAAAAAAAAAAGATAAAGGCAAGACAAGATGAAAAGATTCTGTCGTGATAGATCACATTCAAGTGTTGTAATCCTTCTGCCCTCAGGCGTTCAGCTTGGCTCTTTAATTTATCACTACCAGGCATATCCTGACTGATGGAATTTAAAGTGTCTCATATGTTTTTTTTAGCAGGTACAAATAATCCCTCAAAGACCACAACTTTCAATATCCCAATTAGTATGTCCCTGTCCACTCGTGCCTACCGATGCTGCTTCGTTGATAAACTTGTGGAACAATTTGTCAGACCCTTGTCAGATTTTTGGATTGATTTAGGTCGGTGAATAGCTTTTTCAAAAGCAAGCAACTAATAGAACTCCGGACGCAACAAAAAAAAACAATTGGAATTGGAAAATGGAAAAGGGTTTTGACTGAACCAAACAAAATTGAATCATTTCATTTTAGAATGTACCTTTCCTTGACTTGTTTTGCGCCCCATATATCGAGATACATTTGGAATTGTCTTTTATGAAAAATGCACACCAAGTATACATCGGGAAAAATATTGGTATGATGTTGCTGATGATTTGTTGTTCCTTTTTATTGTGATTTGTACTCACAATACAGCCCTGAGTTTTGATTTTGACTTTTGAGATCTGCACGGTAAATGTTCTCAAAATTACCTAATAGAGCCCATCTTTTTATTTATTTATTTTTTTAAAGCAATTTCTCTCAGAAGTAATATTTATATGTGTCTTATTTCATTTCACCCTTGCACATCTACATTTGTGCAAGGGTGTATCAAGATACATATCGAATTGTCTTTAATTGGAGAGCTGTACACCTTACATCCATTATCTTTACATCCATCAAACACAAACTGAAATTACTATGGGTAGAGCCAGACATGCTGTATGAGGGAATTGGTAAATACCATATGTGCAAGAAAGATTAATTTGGCTTGGTTTGCTTGTTGTACAGTATGTCATCATTTAACCCTTTCAGGGCCAGTGGTTACGACAGTCGACAGCTTCTCATCCGGTTACAGGATGCATGAAAGAGTTAAATTACATTTTTGATTAAAAGTATAACATTTATATTACCTTTTTGTGAGCCAGCGGTAGACAGTGACCTGCCCTTGTATGTTGCTGCAGGTGCCCACGGAGTGCGAGAGGAGCCCCAGTTTGTGACGGCACGTGCAGGAGAGAACATCATCCTGGGGTGCGATGTGTCCCACCCTTTGAACGGCCAACCCTATGTGGTGGAGTGGTTCAAGTATGGAATGCCAATACCTTTCTTCATCAACTTTCGGTTTTATCCTCCTCATGTGGACCCAGAGTATGCTGGTAAGATTTGTTCATTTAATGATTTTGAGTTTGAAGAAATCCGGGACATTTTCTACTGTTAATTACAAATACATACAGTAAAAAGACTAAAATACTGTACCCTAGTCTGTCTGTCTGTCTAATCTCCATAAGGCTTTGCCTTAAAGAACAATCTGAAAACAGCTTCCCTTATGAAACTAGGCAATTGTTTCAAATAGAATCTGGCTGTCCGTCTGGTTGGCTGTTTGTTTGTCTGTCCGCCAGTTGTCACTGTGCTGTGAAAAACATGTATATCCAGTTTTGTCATTTTCAATTTTTTTTTTTTTTTTTTTTACGTTAATGACATGACCGAGCCACGTGATCTGTCTCCTCTTGATGCGGAGGGTTTTGAATTCTGTCCAATGAGGTTATGTAGAGAATCAGAACAGAACAGATACGTGTATCACACAAAACAACGTTTTGCTGCAGCGTGTCTAGTTTACATGCTGAAACGGCTTTGGTTTCAACAACCCCCAAACATATTTTGTTTGCTGCACACTGTCTCACAATGCAAGCCTGAAACGATTCCAAATGATTGACAAACCGCTGGCTCTTTAGTAAACTACCTCCTCTTTGTTCACCTCCATGTAGTCAGTGTTAACAGTGGCAAACCAGCGATGAGCAACAACAAACACTTCAGAATACGACCGTATTTTCCACACTATAAGGCGGTTCGGAGTATAAGGCGTACCTTCAATGAATGGCCTATTTTAAAACTGTTTTCATATATAGGGCGTAACGCATTTTACGGCGCATGTAATAGAAGCTTCAATAGTGGCTGAGGTTGTGCTATGCATGCACTCGAGGGAATTACGCTAAAGGGAATACAATACAGTACAATACAATACAATACATCTTTATTTATATAGCACATTCACAACTGCTACAGCTGTAACAAAGTGCTTTACAGAACATTTAAAATAATACATCCAAGAAATTAGAATATTGATCCATATATAAGGCATATCGGATTATAAGGTGCACTGTTGGCTTTTGAAAAAATGGAATGCTTTTAGGTGCGCCTTATAGTGCAGAAAATACGGTAATCTAAGAAAGGGCAAATTTATAGGTTGCACAAGCGCTTGTAGATGAAAAATGTACTCACGCTGTCTGTAATTGTATGGACAAAATACAAATATTTAGGAGCAGTCTGGAACCCTCGGCTTTAATGAATGTCGACTATTGTCTTGACCCACACGAATGCTGACATTTCATGATGATGAATCGGCTGTTGCTCCCCTCGAGCGTTTCAGTTTTCTCCTCCCCAGGCCTTTCCACCTTATCCGCTATTCTTGCTTGGCTAGAGTAAAAAGCCTTCGCACTTCTTTTGGCCAGCCCACCTCCATTTTCCTTGAGACTTGAATACTTAAAGCCTAGTTGGTTCGCTTGCTTGCAAGGCCAAAGCCTGCTCATCCAAGTTCGGCAGGCTCCTAAATGTTGTTGTGACTAATGGCGAATTGAACATTCTGTGTACATTTTTGACATTTGACAAGGGTTGTGAATAACTGCCGGTTGGTCGGATCTATGGAAGTCCTTTAAAGTCATCTGGAGCTGTACTTTCCCTTAGCAGTTGGAGCAAATGTACATTAATAAAAATGAAAATGTTTGGATTTAAACAAAAACATGGAATTGACTTGTGTATACTATATGTGCTTTGAAAGAAATGTTTTCTGAGTATAGAAATCAAATCTCTTCCTTTAGCCAATAACAGTCATACAAAACACAAGCTGTCCCAAAGAGGGGTCTCTAAGTACCGTATTGGCCCGAATATAAGAGGGCCCTGATTATAAGACGACCCCCTCTTTTTCAAGACTCGTTTGAAAAAAGACTTTTTGAACACCAAATTAATTTTTATACAGAAAATAATTACAGTACATCTGAAACAAATGATTATAACAATATATTTGAGAGAAAAAGCATGTTATTTTTCCTCATTTAAATCTTAATATCTGAACATTTAAATATGTAAACTCAAGTGCAATTTCACTCGTAAATGAATGGCTTCTGATTTTTGAAATGTAAATTACATCATAACTTCTCCTCAGCTGCCAGTTAACCTGGCCGATCTTCGACCCACTTTTCTCCAGATTGTCACTACGTTTCTCCATTTTCTGTTATCTCTTCGATTATTTTCTTCTTTTCTTTCTTACCGCTATTTTTTATTTTTCTTCTTCGTGCTACCGCTATTTTTATTTTTATTCTTTGTGCCAGGGGTTCACTTTGGCCTGGGGAGTCAAGCTCAGCATTAGCTTCAATGATATCTGGCGCCATCTAGCGTCGTGAATGGGTATAATGTCTAGACCCCGAATATAAGACGACCCCCATTTTTTCAGTCTTATTTAATGCAAAAAACACTGTCTTATATTTGGGCCAAACTACTCTGCAGTGTACTGCCGCCCCAGGTTTGTAATTGTACAGTACGTTTATACATTTTATTTCCTGGGAACACAAGTGCCACCAATTTGGTGGAATGGCCCATGTAAAATTAAACAGAATGAGGGAGGCCTCTGTATGAGTTAATTTGATTGATCTAATTGGAAACAATACTTTTTCATTGTTCATTTGGCGTGTACAGGCTAAAACGATGAGTCCACACAGCCATGTTGTTGGTGGGTACGTGTGTGACTTTTCATCAATAAATGACATGATTAATTTATTACCTCGTCAAATGCAATCAATGGAGAACAAGCTTTCTTTTCACCAAATTATTTACACTCATTCAACTTGTATTTGAAGTTGAGTCATTTGGGATGTCTCACAATTGATAATGTGTCTGTTGCTCTCAACTCTTTGATGTTGGCGCTCAGTGTGCCGGCTTGATATTCAGGCGAGGCAAACTTTGGTGATTTTAGAAGTATTTTTGGGTTTACTCTGAGTGTGTCCTGAACATTTGTGTCTGCCTGTTGCTCCAAATACAGTTTGCATTCTGCTGTGGTGTACAAGAGAGCACAGACATGCCTGAGTGAGTGTGTGTGGCTCTTACTGTCATTCTGACACCCCCCCCCCCCACACACACACACACAAAAACAAAACAAAACAAAATCTAAAATTGTGGAGTAGCAACTTCAGATAAAGGCTCTAGCTAACACTTCGTTGAGTCACTTTGTGACCTTAAACAACTCTGGAAATGAAGGAAAACAATCTCTTTTCCTCAATCGGGTTAAAAAAAAAAAACTGAAAAAAAAATCTCATTATCAGCCCCATTTCCGATCATGTGATTGGATCGCGACATCCCCCGTTGAGGTGCAGAACGGCGGAGAACGGACGCTGATAGTGCCTGTAAATTAACTGGCTTTCCCCAGCCTCACCTGCTTTGTTCCCGCCTGTCAGGAAGATGTGTATCTACTGGCAGATGGCAGGAGAGCCGCTGAGCTGGAGAAGCTTAGAGGAGGGGAGTTCAAGGAGGATGGTGTTCAACGCAGAGTTCGAGCCCACTCCAGCAAACATCAGCTAATCCAAAACATTAATCAAACTACAAATCGTGCAAGAAACCAATACAGAGTGATTTTGAAGCTGTTATCCAAAACAAACTGTACATACACGCCCACTGCATCACATCTGTATATACATTTTGAAGTGAATTTCATTGCAAATTTAACATCAACATACTTTCATAAAATGTAAAATAGCTGTCTATCTGCAAACATGATTGCACCATGCAATATACCTGATTTATTTTGTGTTTTTCAGAGCGGATTTAGAAAGTGACGCAAAATTAGTCGGAAATATTCACTAAGTCGAAATGATAGAGGAGAGCAAGGGGATTATTGAGGGCTAGCTTCGCTTTGATAATGCTGATGTTTTTGAGCTGGCATACATTCCCAGAAATCCTTTGTTTTAACCCTTATTGCCAAAAGACCATCTGCTGTGATCTACTTACCAGCTAGCATTGAGCAAAATGCCCTTTCCGCTAACCCTGTGATCATCCAGCCAGAATTTGATATCTGCTGGATAGGAATATCTTACAACACGAAGTGCCGTCACTTGTCACAATTTGGCTACTTGCCACTCATGACGGGGAAGTTAAGTCCTGCCCTTGCCACAATGCATCTTCAAAACAGTGCCGTGCTCGTGAAGAGAACATCGCAACCCCACCGAGGCTGACAGGTGTCACTTTGTATTTATGTCTCATGTCAGTTTTGCACTTTGATGTTGTGTTCCCATTGCGGTGTTGTTTAGAAATAGGTGACACACACTGATGTTGCACATCCACCCGCAGTGCACACACTTGAATTCTCGCCTATTTATATCTGAGCTATTTGAAGGTTGAGTCGCTTCTTAATATTCACTTGCCATCTTTTATCCTTCGACTTTTTAGTTGGTACACTTCTCACCTTTACCTTCCACATGACATTACACACCCGTCCTGCTGATCTCATCAGTTTTTTTTCCCCTCTCTCTCTAGGCCGGGCCAGTCTATACGGCAAGTCCTCCCTGCGGATAGAAAATGTTCGTTCAGATGACCAAGGCTGGTATGAGTGCAAGGTGCTGATGCTGGAGCAGCAGTATGATACTTTCTACAATGGCAGTTGGGTGCATCTAACTGTCAATGGTGAGAGCAATCGGTGCTATCGATTGAAAAAGTGGTAAACTCAATTATTTATCTAATTAAATAGTGGAATGAAAAAAAAATGAATACATACGTTTTCATAATGAATTTTAGGCTGACAAAGACAAATTAACGCAACTAACATAAAAAGACGACTGAAATGCTCTGTGCTTGCGTTAAAGAATCGAGTGGGCTCCATGTTTTGGCAAAAATCTCGACAACCAAATTGGATAGATTTTCAGTGATGGGAATTTGCAAAGGTCTAATAGAAGGCAGCTGGACCTCTCTTTTCATCTCCATTTTCTTTAAATCCCAAAGGTCTTAAACCAAATTTTACTTTCTGATGGGAGTGGCACCTCATGCTTGGTCACATGTGAGTGCTTTATTCCAAAATGTATGTCTTGGAAGTGGCTTGGTTACTGAAGTTGTTTTAATTAGCCATCCCCTTTCCATGAAACCAATGAAGTTAATGACCCAATTGTTGGCGATAGGCTGGGGATGGTTAAAATCTACTCCTGTTTTTGCCATCCATACATTGGCCACTTAAAACTCATTCACTCCCAAAGACGTATTTAAATGTCTTTTCAGATGCCACACATTTAATCCCAGCTCCTCATTTTATATTGACTGTACTTGATAAAGGGTCTGAAAAGACATCTAAATACGTCTTTGGAAGTGAATGAGTTAAGCAGAGAAGCTCAGACTTTTCTCTCCCCACCCACTTCTTCTATTCTAGCTCAGTGGTTCTTAACCTTGTTTAAGGGACCGAACCCAACCAGTTCAGTTGCACATTCACAGAACCCTTCATTAGTGGGGAAAAAAAAAGTATATATATATTTTTTTACAAATCCAAGACATAAAAAAACGCATTTATTAAAAAGAGAAAAAAAATCAAACACCATTAGTATCGTTATAAAGTATACGTTTTTTTTTTTTTTATTGTGCACAAAAAGAACCAGCCAGTGATGGCCAAGCGGGCGTGTCATAACTAATTGACATGTTGAGGTGGGCGTGTTTTAACCTCCATGGCTGAGGCTCTGTCGAACCCCTGAATCAGTATTCACCGAACCCCTTGGATTCGATTGAACCCAGGTTAAGAACCACTGTTCTAGCTCTTCTGTGGTGATAATTAGGTGTTCCTAGGTCCAGCCAAGAGATATGCAGTCTCTTCAGTATGTCTTGGGGTCATCTTGTCACGAGAGTTGGCCAATGTATCTTGTACACAATTTTTGTTATATAGGTGCCGCATGCTCAAACCTTTTCGCATGGAGACAGCGTAACATGGAGTTGATCAAACCCATGCAGAATACACACAAAAACATAATTTAGTATAAATTGATTGTCCAAATTACTTTCAGGGCTCTACACTAACTTTTGCACTGGTAGCATTGGTGCGGTCAACTTTTTTAGGTCGTTGGTCCCTTTTCCAGGATGTCCAGTCTGAAATAGATGTCGAGTGTGCAACATTATATACATAATCTGGTGCTATACAATGTTAGAACAATGCGAGAGTCCATTTAATAAGATGAAACTCTGCAGGAGGATGCCTTCGCAGAGGTGGGTCCTTCTCTTTGGTTGGTCAATGAAGAAATCCCCATAGCAGCTCATTCGAGGAGGCGGTCCACCTCAGATCTTATCCCGATCCGTTGTGGCAGAATCCGTAAAGCGACATCCAATTCTGTCATCGTCAACTAGCCCCCTCTGCAAGCCGAGAGGAGGGTGCAGCAGAACAAGATACGGCAGTCAAACAGGCCAACATGTAGCTCAATAACGGATGAGCTTGCCCTTAGGCATAGCAACTCGGAGCTTCTCATTGAGTAAATAAAGATTAACATGTTTTATTTTAGCCTGTCTTCGGATTCATGAAAGAAAGATACAGCCCAATTTTTCCTCTTAAATTTTGCCCGCTTGACAAATTAGCATTGGCGCTACTGTTTTGAAAACCATTACACCAGAGGATGCAGCCACCTGGTTCTGTTTGATTGAAGGTATGTCTGGCACCGCCAATAGTGGATGAATGCGCTTGTAGAAAGGGCAACTTCGAAAAACTTATTTTCGCAAACTCACCCACAAAGGCAGACAAAATATTTTTGGGAGGCATTAAAAACATTTAATAATTTTATTTTACATATGTGGCGGATCAGACAGCTGTGGTGGCTCACACAATCTCACAGACTCTTCCCCAGGATGACCTTGGTGCGCTCACACACACACACACACACAAAACCTCCAGGACAACGGTATGGCAAAAATGGTGGGGGCTACACTAACGTTAAACTTATACACTAACATTAAACGGAGATCACATGTAGCGTGCTACAAAATATCATGCTGCAAATTGGCTCCCGGGCCGTGAGTTTGAGACCATGATCAACATTATACTGTATGTTTTCCATAGCTCTTAACCAAGCCTCATATCCACCCTTTGAAAAATGTAACCGGAGTGCACACTGGCATGTTGAAGGTGCAAACCTTTTTAGTTTAAAATATATTCCTTGAGCTTTGCTGTTACCTTTGCAACCAATGGCGTTTTTTTTTCTTTTTTCTTTTTGTCCCATTATAAATCCATTTGTCTTACCAGCCTTCCCCGAGCAAGTGCTAAGCTACATGGGGAGTCTCTCCGGGTTGGTGTCCAAGTTTGCAGACTTCCTTCCTTTTGTTGCTATGATGGCCTGAGAGGCCAATAGCGCAATGAGGACAACGTCATTGATACACTGCCTAGTTGGGCTTTATTTATTTAATGCTCATTAGCTGGCTAAATATTAACATACACGCACAAACATTCCTGGATGTCCTGCTTTAAGCCAGCACGTTTTCCCTTGACGCATGTGTCTTGATTTGATTCCGAAAATTCCGATTCCGTTTATTTTCACTGACCTATTCCCATCTCATTTTAAGGCACCACTGATTTGTGCACAGCGCTATGGATAACAAACAATGAAATAAAAGACAATGCAGAAAAAATAAACACATTTATACATCAACAGCTGTTTGGATGAATAAATTGAAACGAATAGTCTTGTAGGGGGTTAATGAGTGAGTTCCAGAGGGTGGTGGCAGAGATGGTCAGGGCTCTGTCACCCCAGGTTTGATGCTGGATTTGGTGGAGTGGAGAGACGAAGTTGGCGTCTGGGGAGCGGAGGCTGCAGGAGGGTGTGTGGTGGTGGATGAGGTCAGTTTACGTAGGAGGGTATGATTATAGCATGCTATGTAAGTGAGAGAAAGGACTTTGAACTGGATGCATTGGGGATTGGGTAGCCAGTAAAGTTCCCGATTGTTGCAGGATTTATGTCCTACAGTCAATTGTGTCTCCCGAGAAGCATACAAAACAGTACCATGGCTTGGTTTATATTTTCAAAAAAAAAAAAAAAAATCCTGGTTTGCAATTGACATCCGACCTACAGGATTAGACATGTAAGCAGATCTGATTCAATACTAAGGTGATTAGAATTAGGATATTAAAATATATATTTGAAATATTTATATTATGTTTGGATAAAATCTGTATTGAATCTGTGACAGTGATATTGTCATTTGTGTATCGTAGTGGGGATTGTCCTGGGGGGCCGGGCAGTCCTCCAGCACAGCCTTGTTATGTTGCGTGTGTTTTGTCAAGAGGACATACCAATTGATGCCCATCCCTCCTCAGAATTTAGTTGAGCTCACAGTAAAAGACGGTTTCAGTTTGGTAATGTAAAAATACAGCACACTCGACATCATGTACACTTTGACAAACATAATAAATATAGACCGTATTTTCCACACTATAAGCTCTTTGGAGTATCAGACACACCTTTAATGAATGGCCTATTTTAAAACTGTTTTCATTTATAGGGCGCTACGTATTATAAGGTGCATAGAATAGAAGCTGCAATAGTGGCTGCGTTTATGTTATGCATCCACTAGATGAAGCTACGCTAAAGCGAATACAATACAATACAGCTTTATTTATATAGTTTTCACAACCGCTCAGCTGTGACAAAGCGCTTTATAGAACATTTAAAATACTATGTCCAAGAAATCAGAATATTGATCCATATATAAGGCGCATCGCATTATAAGGCGCACAGTCGGATTTTGAGAAAATTTAATCCTTTTAGGTTTGCTTTATAGTTCGGAAAATACGGTATATATAGATTGATTGGTACCACTGTAAAAGAATGAGTGATTTTGAAACTTGCGTTGGTCAGGTAGCAAACCAATGACGAAAACACTGACTGTCATTTTCAAATGCTTCCTGAAAGCAAACACAAAACTTTCAAAGCAACAAAAAAAAAGCCCAAGTTTGCAAATCAATTCTTGGTGGCTACCAAAAGTTAGTTTATTTTGTTTTTTTGCTGAAACCTCATGTCTGTACTCTGTATGAAATGTCAAACCAGTTGTACCATTTGTGGATGTGTATTTTCCGAGGTTTACGTGTGCCCATTTTAGTGTACACAACTGCTTAGCTTGTCTGCATGGAGGTTATGGATGAATGTTCGCAATTACTTGTGAATGTCATGACATGGCGTTCCAACCTGGCATGCAATCTTCCAATTTCATCAGCAGCATTGCACATAGAGAGCCTTCAAGCATCAAGCAGTACAAATGCAGGCTACTGAATTGTTCAACACCGAAGGCAAAAACTTGTCGCTGTCCAAAGAAAAGCGTTTCCCGTTTTTTTTTTCTTTTAGAAAAAAAAAAAAACTTACAAATATTGGAGATTCTATGGGACAAGAGGTTACATTGGCCGTTTAGTTGCGCAAATGCCTTATTCAACAGTAAATTGCAACTCAAGCTGCAACGGCCACCAAATAATGTAGTGGTGACCAATGTATGCGATGTGCAACATTGTTCAAAGTATTCCATTTAACAGCAATTTTATTTCAACCTTTATTTCACTCTCCCACAATACTGAGCAATGTGTGACAAAATCAAGGGCAAAATCATTAAATGGCGTGACTACTGGATGAACGTTTTGGAACGCTACTGAAATCTTACTGCTTTTGGAATGTGAATCAGCTTAATTCACATAACCTTCAGGGTATTGTTTTTTTCTTCTTAATATCCTGGTTGTCTTGCAAAAATGGCATGAAAAGCGCAAGATAAAGCAAAAGTAGTGCATTATTAATTGTTTGACAATTGCTAAATTCAAGCTGGAAGCACTGTAAAAAACTAGTTCCGCACGATACTCCTAGGTCCAATGTTCTGGTTCGATAGCCGGCTCCAGCCTTCCTGTTTGTTTGCCTCTTCTCCCAATGCTTTCCTGAGTTTTCTCCGGGTACATCAGCTTCCAGCCACATTCCAAAACCACGTGCATGTTTGGTTAATTGTACTCTCGACAAGTCATTGGCCAATATTCGATTCTGACAGTATGATCACTGATAAATATATTGTGGTATCACTGTATCAAAATTACAAGCTATTAAATGTTCCTTTTATAACAAATAAAATGAAATATTTGGGAAAAAAATCCAATGGACACACTATTTTATTATATACAATGCAGAATATTTGGTACATTAAGAAACATGAACCGTGTGAAGTTCAACAAACTAACCAACTAACTAACATTAACCTTCTGTTTTAATTCAAAGTGCAGTGTCCCATCACTGGTTAGGTATTTAAAAAAACAAAACAAAACCCTGGGCTACTCAGGTTAACCAGTACCCACTGGTACCATGTATGTATGTATTTATTTATTTAATTATGTCGTACAAAGCACATACATGCTGGACTTAGCACAGTGACTCAATCTCTCTTGTCTTCTTCCTCCTTCCCTACTCCTTCTCTTCTCTGTGTGATATCTGTGTGTAACTGCCTGACCCTCCCCTCTCTGCTCAGCCGAGGAGGAGAAAATAAAACGTGGCTGGTCTTTCATCATTAACTTCAAAGGCGTTTTGATCTGACGATCTTCAACTCTCCAAGCAGCCAATTGCAGCATAACGTGTGCTCCTTAAAAGACCCCTTAAAAAAAAATAATAATAAATAAATTAAAAAAAAAAAAAAAAAAAAAAAAGCTCATTACCGGTTACAGACAGTTTAGCAGTTATTAAAAATAGGACTTTTTAAAACAGTGCTAAACTGACAAACCAGTAACAAGGCCCATTCCTACTCTAGACTCCAAATTTTCCATAGATGTGAATGTTTTTTGTTTTTTTTTTGGATGTGCCCTACCCCGCCTCTACTTCAAAGTAAGGCTCGCCTGTGACCTTAATGCTAAAATGTGTAGAAAAAATGATGACTGGAAGAATTGAGGTCTTGTTTGCTGTACTCGGATCTTCTGCAATCATTTGAAATTTTCCCGTTAATGTTGGCAATCAAAATTATAAGTTCCGCTGTTTTATCTCATGTGCCAAAAAAAATCCAAATTCTTTATGTTGTCCTTAATTTACATAACACACTTAGGCAATGAGAATGGGGCATTCATCAGAGATGAAAGTCCTCCGGATTTTCCCGGAATTCCGGGTTTTTCAAATTTTTATGAAAATTTCTCCGGAGAATTGAGGAAAATTTGCATAATCCGGATATT